ATTACTAAAGAAAAGAGAAATGCAATAGCAATTTTTGACAGTTCTGCACATGTTCTCTTAAATAAATTATTATTAATTATTTATATTTTTCATTATGATTTCTGTCATTCCTGTGTAATGGTTGCTCCTTTCTGTATTCGCTTAAATGTTTAACATCTAATAATCTCTTTGTAATTGAAATCTGCCTTATGAACACATTCTCAATATATGGGAAAAACTAGGACTCCGACTGTGTGAAGAGTTGGACCTGAAACGCTGTGAAGTCACGGAGCACAGACCCGCGTGCTGTGCCCTGTGTGAGGCGTGGACCTGCTCCCCTAGGCTCAGCACAGCTCTGTGAGACCTGAGAAGAAGCTTCAGCCACAGCTTCTTTGCCCGTTTGCTGATGTCTGTGTGGCTGTGATAAAGTACGGAGCAGGTTGACTCTTTTGTTTTACATTTTTAGTAGTGAAAAGGTGGGGGGAAAAGGATATATGATGAATTTAGAATATTGTATATGCTTAGGTCAAGTAGAGAAATAAAATCTTTCTAAAATATAGTTTGTCTGTTCAGTCTCTAATTGCAACTTTAAATTTCTTTTTGCTGTTTAAGGTTATTTTATAATGTATTGTTTCATTTTCCAGGAAACCTTTTTATATAAATATTTTAAAGTATTACATTTACTGTTTTAATCCTGATATGATTATGTAAAGTATTTATTTGTTGTGATTTAAGTAAGTTTTTATAACATTATATTTTGTTATTTTGACTGTGTAAAGTTAATTGCAATGTCTCTATTTTTAAAACTAGGAATATGTTAAAGTTTTACCAGATCAACTATTAATTAGATCATTCAAATCTTTTAAATGTGTACTCAAATTTCTGAATCTTTCAAAATTATAATATCCTATATCAATATTATATAAAATTATTTATTCTTTCTTTCTTATCTATGTTTTTAGAATTCCTAGTTTTTAGATATTCCTATTTGTTTTTCTTGGCAATTAGAATTAGGATTTAGTAAACATGTACTGTTCCATATGCTGCTTGGGCTCATTATTCATCATAAATGTCTCAGGAATTTCATATAGTTATGGGCTCCTCTTCCACTCAATTTTATTAGATGTGGATTTCCTTTACTTTCAATTATACGTGTTTGCATGATTTAGACAAATTATGCTATCTTTTTTATGGCAAAGTAGTCTATTCAATCTATGAGTTTGTAGACAACTTTTTAAAATTTTTAATTCAATTAAGACTAACCTATTTTCTTTATGATTTAGGCTAGCGAAACTTACATCGTGTTATTAAATAAGCATAATATAATCCGATGGCATTCAGAAAACTTTCTGCTGTATTTTCAATTGCTAAATTATTTTTTTTCTTTCTCATTGAGTTCATTGGTACTTTTTAGATATACAGTACAGTTACATTCATCACTGGGATCTTGTACCTTTACATGACAGGTCTTGGTTCTCATTTTTTCCCCATACCCCTGCCCTCCGTTCACCCCCTCCTCCCTTCCCTATTTACAAAAACTTTTTTTCATTTTTCATATTTCTTCTTTTCCCTTATTTCCTTTCCCTACCCTTCCAGCTTCACCCACACCTTTAGCCCCTTTCTTCCTATTTCACATTGTCAATTATACATAACATTTGGATCTTACTTACACTATTAGTTTTTCACACCAGAGAAACTATTTGATGGTTACACGTGTGGCTTATTTATTTCACTTGAGAATGACCTCGATATGCATCCATTTTCCTATGAATGACTCTAATTTCTCATTCTTTATGGCTGAGTAGTATTCCATTTTATAGAAAAACCACATCTTCTTTATCCAGTCTCTAATTGATGGGAAATTAGGCTATTTCCAAGTTTAAGCTATTACAAACTGTGCCGCTATAAACATAGGTGTGCATGTATCACTGTCATACCATTCTTTTAATTCTTTTGGAAACATACCCAACAGAGGAATAGCTGTGTCAAATGGAACCTCTAATCCTAGTTCTTTGTGGTCTCTCCATATTGATTTCCATAGTGGTTGCACCAGTCTGCACTCACACCAACAATGAAGAAGGGTTCCTTTCTCCCCACATACCAGCCAACATTTGTTATTGGTTGATTTCCTGATAGCAGCCGTTCTTTCTGGGGTGAGGTGGAATTTCAGTGTTGTTTCCATCAGCATCTCTTGATCAACCAGCGATGCGGAACATTTTTTCATATATTAATTTGTCTGTTCATTTCAGTTGCGCACTTATGAATCGGGTCTTTATATTTAGGGGGCCTTATTGTTTTTTAGTTCTTTATATATTCTAGATAATAGCCCTTTTTGGAGCAGCTGGTAAAATTTTTTCGCACATTGTAGATTGTCTCTTAGCTCTGTTGGTGGTTTCTTTGGCAGTGCAGAGCTTTTTAATAAGATGAGATCCCAGTTGTTGGTTCTTTCTGCTAGATCCTGTGCTACTGAGGATTTGTTCATAAAGTCTTTTCCGATGCCATTGTTTTTGAGAGTTCTGTCTAACTTATCTTCCAGCAAATTTAGTGACTCTTTCTTAATATTTAGATGTTTAATCCACTTAGATTTTAGTTTGGTGCATGGTGAAAGACAAGGGTCTAGTGTTAATCTGTGGCAAGTTGAGATCCAGTTTTTCTAACACCATTTATTAAAGAGGCTGTCTTTCCTCCAGTGAGGATGGTTGGCTCCTTTGTCAAAGATGAGGTAGCTGAGTACGTCTGGAGTTTTTCCTCCCTATTTTACTTTATGTTCTTCTGAGCTTTCCTAACTATTTTCAATCCGTTACTTAGTTTTTCATTTCAGTTCTTTTCAAAGTGAGTGCGAGCCCTGCTGGACCCTCTCTGAGTCCACCCAAGGCACCCCGTACGCACCCTCTGGTGCTCTAAGGCCAAGCACTTCTCCTCATGCTTTTGCGCCTCCTCCTCCGCACCTGTGATCTCAGCAGCTCAAGCTGAGGGGGAGGCAGCTCAACCTCTTCCAGAGGGGAAGCAGAGGGGTTTGCTTTTAATGATGTCACATTTTCTGAGAGAGGCACATTCACGGAGTGAAAGTCAGCAGCTATGGCAAGCAGTTGTTCTAAGACCAAAACTAAACAGGTCTCACTCGCAGCTGATTGATGCAGATCATCTTGAGTAGCTCGCTGGCTTCGATTATTGGGCAGCAAAACAGAGAGCACAGGGCTGCAACTTGTCAAGGTCTCAGTTAAAGTCTCAAGGGAGATAACTTTTCCTTTTTGTTGAGCTGTCTGGATGTTAGTTTTGACATGCTCCCTAAGTTCCACAGTTAAAGTCCTTGATTAAAAAATGATTATAGTCTACTAACTTGTGCAGCATTTATTTCAACACTGCAGGCCACCTTAAGATGAAAGTGATTACCCTGTATTTTAGTCACAGCTGACTACCTTTACTACCTTCTGGCATCTGGAGCACCTACCTTTTTATTTCCAGGATTTTGTGCTTGTCCTTGACCTTGATGTGAAGTGCACCGACATTGGGGATTCTTTTCTTTCTTTTTCTTTTTACTCCAAAGAGCCTCACTGAGCAGGGAGTTGCTCGTGGTTTGACCTCCAACATTGGACTTCAATTGCTGGACTCCAGTACCCACCTCCCCAGTATGCCACACAGGCCTGAGTAAAAGTAGATACTAGGAGACGGAACTAAAAGAGAGAGAGAGCAGGGTGGCAGGAAGACCCATGTTGGTGCAACTGACAAAGGTGCTGCACAGTCCCAGCCACTGAATTTTATCGGCAATCAACTGGAGGAAAGGCAAAGAGTGGTTTGTATGGAAATTAATGTGAACACCGCTCAGAATGGACAAGACAAAGCATTCTCAGATTAGGAACAGAATAGACAAAATATATGATTGTGCCACTCTATCCAGCTGGATTATGAAATTATTAAACAAGAAAGTTTCTGTAACTGTTAAATAACATAACATGCTCAAAATATATTTCTTAAATTCTCAATAATGGTCCATTGTTATTTCTCTTATATTTCGCAAATTTAGAGTTTCAACATAAAATTCAAGATACTTGGAGAATTTATTCCTTCTAGTCAGGTGGAAATTAAAGAACTAGGTCTACATTTATATAGAAATTGATCCTTTACTATTCAATCAGGAAGAATTAAAGTCATTTCTATTTAAAGCTCTTAATCTTTTGAATAAATGATAATATTATCTTATATCAGTATAACTTTTGTTTTCTCATCTAATAGAAAAAAAAATACTGATAACTTATCTAAAGACCTCTTCTTACTCAAAGGAAATGTAAGCTCCTTATAGGGTAGAAAGCAGAATTGCGGTATACATGTATTAAAAATCATACATATAAATATATATAATTGGCATAAGAACAAAATTATAATTCAAAATGTCTTTCACTGAATTCATCTTAAACTGCTCAGCTAATGTTTTCCTTATTTTACAATTATAGTTTTTGAAAGATTGAATTTATAACATAATTTTCTATCAAATATTACTTTAATCTTGTAAAAGAAATATTAATTTTTACACTCTAAAGATGATAGGTTAACTCATGATGCACAGTTCATGACGGACATAGAATTGCAGTTCTATCTTTATGATCTGCCCCAGATACAGAAGCTCTTGAAGTATTAGGAAATAAGGAGTTTTTTTTAGATACTCACTTTGACTCTTAATTTGACCGAATATGAAACCAGCTAATATAATTAGGGAAAATTCATCATTTCACCTGATATTTAAGACTTGCGGCACTAGCTCATTAAGTACATGAGCACATGTTTTCTACTTGACAGTGGACTGCATGACATGAGCACTCCTCTTGCCAGCTTGTCACTCTATTTGTATCTTTTAATGGGGAATTATATTCTGTCTGCACACACACGCACACATCTGTGTGTATACAGAAATACTTCCATAGGCAAAACCCCTGTTGTTTATGTTTACAGTGACGTTTGTTCTCCCCTAGTGACACGAGCTTCCGTTTACCATTGTCTTCAGGTCCGTCCTGGGAGATGTCAGCATGGAGAATTTCACTGAAGTGACCGTATTTGAGTTGAAGGGGTTCACGGACAGTCCTGAGCTGTGGATCATTTGCTTCTTCCTGTTTTTATTAATCTTTACTAAATTTATTGGTACATATCAGGAACACAGTACAGTTGCATTCATCATTGGTATCTTGTTGCTGTACACGACTTATCAGGTTCTTATTTTTGCCCATTCCCCAGCCCTCCCTCAGCCCCTCCACCCTTCCCTGTTTGCAAAAGCATAGTTTCTATATTTTTCCTTTTCACATATTTTTCTTTTCCCTTTTCACCTTTTCCCTGCCCTCCCACTTCCTCTTCTCTTTTACACTTTTCTTCCTATTACGTGATATTAATTATATATTTTAATCCTTATTTACACATTTATTTCTTCAAAACAGTGAAGCTATTTGGTATTTATGTGTATAAATTATTAACTTCACTTAAGAGTGTGGCCTTAATGTGCAACCACTTAGCTGTAAATGCCTTAGCTTCTCATTCTTTGTGGCTGAGTAGTATTCCATTTATAAAAACAACCACATCTTTTTTAACCAGTCTCCAGTTGATGGGCAATTGGGCTGTTTCCAAATTTTAGCTATTACAAACTGTGCTGCTGTAAACATGGGTGAGCATATATCACTGTGGTATGATTCTTTTAATTATTTTTGAAAGATACCCTGCAGAGGAATAGCTGGGTAAAATGGGACTTCTAATCCTAGATGTTTGAAGAATCTCCATATAGATCTCAATAGTGGTTGCACCGGTCTGCACTCCCACCAACAATGGAGAAGGGTTCCTATCTCCCCACAGCCCTGCCAGCATTTGTTGTTGGTTGATTTCTTGAGAGCAGCCATTGTTTCTAGGGTGAGATAGAATCTCAGTGATGTTTTCATCAGCATCACTTGAATGACCAGTGATGTTGAACATTTTTTCATATGATTATTTGCTGCTTTTACATCTTTGTCTGAGAAATGTCTGTTCATTTCAGATGCCCATTTTTGAATTGGGTCTTTATATTTGGGGGGGTCTGATTTTTTTTGAGGTCTTTAAATATTCTAGATAGTAGACCTTTCTCTGAGAAATAGCTGGTAAAAAATTTTTCCGCACATTGTGGGTTTTCTCTTAGCTGCTTGTAATTTTTGTGGCAGTGCAGAAGCTTTTTAAAAAGATGAGATCCCAATTATTGATTCTTTGTGCTAGTTCCAGTATTACTGATGATTTGTTCTTAAAATCTTTTCATATGCTGATATCCTCAAGAGTTCTACCTAACTTATCTTCCAGCAAGTTTAGTGTTTCTGTTTTAATATTTATATCTTTAATCCACTTGGATTTTAGTTTAGTGCATTGTGAAAGATACAGATTTAATTAATTAATTTATTTTTTGGTACCAGGGATCGAACTCTGGCCCCTGTGCTTGCAAGGCAGGCAGCAGAACCACCAAACTAACTCCCCGGCCACTTAATTTTAATTTTTGACAAGTTGAAATCCAGTTTTTCAACCACTTATTAAAAGGCTATCTTTCCTCCAGAGAGGGCGTTTGGCTCCTTTATCAAAGATGAGGTAATTGAGTATGTCAGGAGATGTTTCTGCATCTTCTAATCTATTCCACTTATCCTAAGGTCTGTTTCTTTGCCAGTACCATATTGTTTTTGTCACATTGGCTTTGTAGTATAGTTTCAAATTGGGAATTGGAAAACCCCTGTCATGTCTCTGTTGCCTAGAATTGCTTTTGCTATTCTAGGTCTCTTCTAATTCCAAATGAATTTTTGAATTATTTTCTCTAGTTCTATGAAATATACTGTTGGAATTTCAATAGGGATTTCATGTTCACCAATGAAAGAGAGAGAGAGAGAGAGAGAGAGAAAATCCTGACCGACCACTATTGAATGTAAACATCTCTGCAAATGTATACAACTGTGTGTCACTTGAACAGTACATAAACAGGGCTGAGCTACAGTTTAGGGTATCATGGGAGGAGATATTTATGCCCTTCTTCTGGGACTTGCAAGGGAAAAGGTGAAATCCTTTCCTCATTAGCTGCTTGCACTTTTGTCCTTGGGGTCTCGCCCAGCCCAGGGGTCTTCCCTGGAAACGGCTCCCCGAGGACGAGGAAGGCAGCGCTGTTCTGAGGGCTCATATGGGAGGCGCCTGGGCCATCAGCCTGCTGGACGGAAGGCCTCCCTGCTCTGGTCATGGTCACAGTCGCTCCCTGGGATTCTTTCCAGAACAGATGTCCCGGTAACGCATCCATTTGATCAAGATGGGGAGAAAATTTCTAGAGTGATTTAATTTGCTTCATTAATGAGAAAGAATGGACAAAAACATCAAAGTAACATATCAAGGAAAGCAAATATCACAGAAAGTGTCAGCTTCTTATACTGTTATCTTATTTCTGAAAAAATTTGAAGTTTTTAAGTTTCTAGGTGGGTAATATTATGGGCTTTTTTCACAGTAAGTATCATTCTTTAAAATGGAGAGTTTTGTATGAGATAAAATGAAATAGTGATTTTAACAGAATCAACAAATATATATACATATAAATAAAACTTATAAGATATATTAGTACCGTATATGTAAATAGAGAATATAAAGGTGATGGAACAATGCTGGGGATTTAGCTCAGCAGTTTGGTGGCCTCCCTCGCAAGAGTAAGGACCTGAGTTCTATCCCCGGTACCAAAATAAATAAATAAATAAAAATAAAGATGATAGAACCAAAGTGTATAAGTAATGAGCATATTTTGAAATCTTTCTGTGGAAGAAATTTGACTTTGAATGATCAAGTTAGGAAAGCACACTGGAACTGGAGTTGCAGAATTGTCCCTCTCCCCCTCCCAAAACTGGGAGAACATTTATTTTGATTGAATTTTTATTTTGATTATTTTATTGAAAGAAAGCACGTACTCGTAGCCAGCCTCTCACTGCCCCTGGTCTCCGTCTCCCGGGCTCCGGTGCAAGGGCTCCTAAGTCCAGCTCAGGGCCAGCTGCCTTCCACCCAGCTGTGAAGGAGACCCGACCTTGGCCTCCTGCTGTAGGTCCACACCTGCATTTTCCTCTGGGAGGCAGACGGCCTTTGTGGACAGAGCCTGCCTTCCTGTCTGGTCACCTGAGTGGAGGAGGAAGCAGGTGTTCAC